CCCCGTCCCCCCCATATTACTGTTACACTTAAGATGAATGCACGTAGGTACGATTCTAATCCCCATCCTTCCCTATCCCTCTATCACAATATATCAAACGAATGCCGATTCCTTTTAATTATCTTATCAAAGGGAGCCGCGTGTTCTTGCAGCAGGAACATCAGTTGGCCGGTTGCCGAGATTTTTCACGTATATTTTTATCTGCTCCGTACATCGCTCTAAATCGTTCCCCAGCTACGAAGAATCTCGTCCAGGGTAACGAAATCCTTGGCTGTCTAAATTTCTAATGAAAATGCAAAGGAAAAGCGTTTGACAGTAAAATAAAAAATTTACCCCTTAAAAAAAAAAGGATAAATTCGATCGTCAACGTCTCACGTTGATTCGAAATACAAATTAGCTTTATTCACCCCTTTTTTAATTCGTATAACACAGTTTCCTCGCACACGTGAGAACAACGTTCGGTCACTTGAATAATCCTGTTATCAAAAAGCGTCACGTGGCTCTTATGAAAAAAAAAAAAAAACGAAACAACGTGAAAATTCTTCTCGACCCAAATGCAAAGTCAATGGCCACGTGCTTCGTTCGCTGACGATGATCGTAGAAATAAGGGCCAGCATCAGAGAAGATGCGTCGCGCGCGGAGTTCGACCGCCAACTGAGCACAGCATCAAGCGCGAACCATTGGCTGGCTCAACCCCTCCTATACAGCTATAGTAAAGTATATAGTATAGTATGTGTATGGGCGTATACACATATATATTTGAAAATATAGAGATCCACCATCTACCCTCAACACTCTGTTCGTAACGTCTACGTTTTCCTGTTGCAAGTAATGTTTAGCGAAAATGTTCTTGTCACTGCTGGTGATCATTTGCCTAGACGAATTATGGGTTTTTATATGGGAGCCACTTTGCGTTGATAGCGAACGATATGATACCAGATAAATAATGATAACAGAAACGAGCAAGTTTACGGATAAGTTTTATTGAACGAGTAAAGAGGGGGATTATGGGTATACCTACGTATGTTCCACAGATGCCCGGTAGAGTCGACGTGATATCGGGTCGTGATATAACGCGGGGTGATATATTATATTTATTGGATCGCGCATGTAGTATGGGAAGCATGATAACTTATCGTTTCGTAACGCAAAGAGAAACGGTACGGAACGTCCAGAATCGTTTTCAGGCTGTTCGTTAGGTTGATAAAGTATACCAGTGGTAATTTCCGTAACGGGTCAGACACATTTGTACTGATCGTTTCGTGGGGATCCTTTGGGAATTCAAAAGCGCTCTGCGTATTATCTGCTGGTAACGTTTTTCTACGGATTTGAATGTCAGTCTTATGATTTTATGGTTAGATGAATTTTGAGTTTTTTTCTTTTTTTTTTCGGTGAAAATCAACTTAACGGTATAATTTTGGACGGGGAGTACTGTTGAAATTCCTTTATCGCTGTACAGCGGCTCTGTTTAGGCGGGACGTTATTTTTCTGGTACTTCGTGCGAATAATTTTCACGCACACGCATCGGTTTTACTCTGAATTGAAAAACAATTTTGAACAAAGCAAAACAGTCGTGCATAAAGCACAGGCGGTTTGACAGTTTGAACGAGTAGACGTCAGAAGCAGCTTTGGAGGCATTTAAATGTCTTGTAGTTCGGCGTAAATTCTGTGCGGGGTCGTTGGAGTGTGAAAGGGTGAAGCAGGGCAAGAGGGGGAGTGTGTGAGAGAGAGAGAGAGAGAGAGAGAGAGAGAGAGAGAGAGAGACGGGTAGATGAAGAAAAAGGGTGGAAAAATGGATAGGAGATCAAATCGAGTTTCGTGGGGGGAAAAATGTGGTCTTTTGACTTTAACAAGGAATATGGTGTTGATCAACGACTAGAGGGATTAGAAGAAAAAGTAAAAGTAAAACGGACGCCGTGTTCAATTGGCCATGCCAAATCTCTTCCAGTCGAGATTTGCGGATCCTCTGACAATTTCCTGAGCATCCATTACCATAGTGCTTTGATCTCGTAGGAATATTTTTCACCTTTTTTCTCTCTTTCTTTCATGTAATTCGCTTTTCCTGTTTCGTTCCATCTGTCTACCTCTCTCTGTTTCTTTTTCGTATTTCTCTCTTGCCGCAGTCTTCTTTCATATTTACCAACACTCCCCCTCGAGTCCCGTACTCACTGGGCTTCGTAACGACATCAGATTCTCATTCTTCAGAAAGCCGCTAGCCTAAGTAATCATTTTGAGAAATGCCTTTAATGCATTAAATTTTTCCTTAAATGGGGGGGGGGGGAGGAAATATGAAGGAGATAGAAAAATATTTTAAGAATATTATCTCTCATGCATTACCGAATATACCACGACCCCCTTCGTCCACTTCCGTCGCTGCTTTTATCTTCTACGTCTATTCCACGAGATTCCAGGATCCCAGGATTCCAGGATCTCCTGTCTGCAGCATCCCATCTAATTCCCCTTGCGCTTCCGTGTGTTCTGGACATTGAGGTGCATCCAATGCTGATTGGCCCAATTACCTACAGAGAGATTCGAAAAATCGACTAACGTTGTCGCTCGTTCGGATAGAGGGAAGACTTTCCAATGGGAATTTCTTGCTGAATGCCTGGCGAGAGAATCCTGAATTCCTGAATTACGAGACTCCTGAATTCTTCGATTCACCGAAGAAGCATTCGGGAATCTAGATGAGGGTTGGGACTTTACTTCGGGCGAAGACTTTGCCAGCACTTGAGATCCTTTCCAATTAGGAATTGCGTCATGCGTATTAATAAAATTTCTCAAGAAAAGATAAAGTCGATGAAAATCAAGCCCTCATTTACTGCATGAACGTGTTCGTCTTCTTCAACGTTCGTACGGACCAAATGAACGTCATAATAAGCGAATCGAGACTGTAGTAGCAATTTTAACAGATGGGTGACCATATTTAATAATGGAACATTATTACTAAATTATTTTCGGATAAAATTTCCAATTGGTCCAAGATCTTGAGTATTCCCATCAGATTAATAATTTAACACTGTCGTTAACTATTATACCCGAAATTAAAGAGATATCTAATAGTAAGGAAGAATTTTTAATACCATTCTTCAATCAAGCAAAGAGAAACTTATTTTACAGTCAATTAAATATATTAATCCGATGCGTCTGTGTACCTTCAACAAAATTTCCCATTGCTAATAATTTTTTGTCAAAGGTAATGAATTTTTTTTCAATCCATTTATTTATACCTAATTTTACTAAATATCAACGTCCAATCTGTCATAAAGACTGTAATGTCGTCTGAAAAGATATTTCCCTATAAGAACTAAAGGGAAACATAAAGTGAACAAAAAGGTTGAGAACAAAAGAGGAAAACGTGACCATGATATATTCCGTACGAAAAATTACAGGAAAAATCATAGCATTAGCCCTCTTTCCCAATCACCGGAAATACTTCATTTTCCGTAATGTTCATCAGCCTTCCTCTTTCTCTTCTACAATATCCAGTCGTATACACTGAACATATATTTCTTTTCTCATAAAGCATACATCCGTAACAGGCAATTAAACGCGAAACCTTATGACTTCAGGTAACTTTCTTTCCGTAGGACGGTAATGATTTCTCCTGTAATAGCGTGACGGTAATGAATTTTAATATTAATAGAAATGTCTTTATAAAATTTTTCCGTTTTCAAGGATATTGCCTTTGATGATGTAATATTGTATATAGGTAAGAACATGCATCATAACACTGTGGGCGGGTATTGGTTGCTAGGCTAATATCACGGACGGAATAAAATGCGTTCAAGTATGATAATAACGAAAACCTTAATTAGAGTCTGGTCTTCTCTACTTCTTTGCCTTTTATCACTGACTTCTCTGCTCCCACCATTACATTGTTCCGTCATTTAATAGAACGCTCTAAGGAATTTACGCGGTACAGAGTAATAGTTTATCGACCAGAGTTAATGACGGTAATAATGGACATTAAGGTAGACGAGGAAACGTACGGAATGATATGAAGGAAGTAAAGACTGCCCGAGGGCAACGAACTTCTGCAACAGTAGTATTATTGATTAATTACTCCCTGTGAAGATTCGCGGGATGCCTTACACGAGACGGTTTAATTAGAAATTGTAATGCCTTTGCGAGAAACCATAAAACTGCAATGAATATAAGAATATTGTGAGCGTAGGTAAGCTAGTTTCTATATCGACGGAGTAAAAAGGCGTACGAGCTTCGGGATACTGACGTTCGTGGCAGCACTGTTCGAATGATACATAATAACCAGAAGAATAACGACAACAGGGAAGTTAGAACGAAAGCAGCGTCGAAGATACAAATTTATATACTTTCGATGCCTAAAAAATTGTTCCTTAATATTCCTTATGTTTTTGTAATTACTCCGCTGCTATTAGACAATGATTAAAAAATATTCATTAAAACAGACAAATATTTTTTTAATTTCTATTCCAAATGACCAACCAGGTTTTCGTGATTTTCTTAGCGAATTAATTCCTCTCAATTTGCTTCGTTTTGTTCAGCAATTTATTTCTTATTTTATTAAAGCATTTTTAAATAACAAGTAAGACTTGATTTTTGGATTAAGACCATCGTGTGAGCGTAGTCGGTAAGAAATCAAATATTACTACGTTCATATTGCTACGTTCGCAATCGGGTCAAGAGAAAATCAAATTTTACTTGTTACTTAAAGATGCTTTAATAGAATGAAAAACAAATTGCGGAGCAAAATAGAGCAAATTCAGAGCAACCAATAGATTAAGAAAGTCACATGAAAATCTGTTTGATTATTTGGAATAACAATATGTATAACAGCAGCGGAGCAATTAGGAAAGCTTAAGCAGCAACTTTTAAGACTATAGAAACATACAAATTTTTATCTTTTGACGCTAACTTACCAATAGTAAAATACCGTTGAAATACGTTGCGCAAGGAATTTTCATAGTTGATTCCATCGAATTCCGTTAGATGGTACTACTCGTGATACGATATTTGTATAATTTTACTCTCATTGACCGAAAAAGTAAATAGAACGGACATCTTATACGATACGGTGTTACGTGTGTGTTGGTGTATTTGCAAACAATTGATACATTGTTTGAATCAATAATGAAAGTTTAAGACAGCTGTCACAGTCGATATGTCACAATAAAATGTATCTGTGGTGTGTAATATCATTAACTCAAAATAAATTCCACATATACATCCTAGTGCAGACCAACTACATGACTCATGCTAACTTCATGCGTCTCATTATCGCAACAGTGAATTATATTTAACCGTATCATCTAATCTGTATTTAAAATTATAATATATTCAATGTATATATATCTAACATATCTATACCGTACGTCAATTTCATTTCACCACAAATGTCACAACACTGTTAGCAATTATTCCACATTATTCAAATTAACGAAAATTACAATAAACAATTATTCACTACGCTAAATCACCTTATGATTCATAAATCAACGCACAATTCCAGTCATGATTTATGTTTTTACCTACAAAATAATAGCTCATGATTCCATACTAACCTATAGTAAATATACATGCTAGAGTGTATACATATAGTATTAAACTGCAGATAAAAAAGATTCCACGCAAAAGCAATAACAATAATCATCAATACTATGTACCAAATGGGTATATCGATGTACATATATGTAATTATCACTAAAAAAAATAAATATATATCCATCTCAACACAGCAACGTCAATCGAAATAAAAAATGTGTTATATAAGACATTTTAAATTTAACTGTCAATCACCCGTATCCGTTCAGTACAGAATAATAGGACACACCGAGTCACCGAAAGAAACTGTCTCGAAGATAATGGTTGATAATACACAGCGAACAAACGTTCTTTGTATTATCAGCAAAACGTTACACGAGGCGCCGGAACGAGGCATGCGTGTAGTCAGTATATGGTGAGTCGAACTAACGTACTATTCCAAGTGTCAGTTACTCGGGACTGTTCAGAGAGTGCAGTGCGCGCTTCAGCTAAAGCGATAGAGGTTAATCAGATTGCATTTCAGAGACGTAAACAGAGAAATAAGAGTATCAGAGAATTAGGGTATAGCAGACTGGCACATCTCCTCATTGGAGTAGTCAGTCATAAGGAAAGCAAGGAAGAAAGGGTATAGCAGACAGACTATAGTATAGCCTGTGGAATGAGTGTTGATGGTGCGCGGCGAATACAAATACCGAATGACAGTTTGTGACGGATTTCCGGTTAACGCTAATTTCTTGATTGCGAAGTAAAAAGTAAGGCAGAAACTTATTCTAATTAAAGATTGACCTTTGCCTCCTAGGTGTATTCATTGTGTGTATCAGATTATTCAGCAGTTTTAGTACACAGTGTCTTCAGTGTTAAATTGACTAAATTTTACTTCCATGTTGCGTCTGGCAACACGTGTCAATCACATGGGGTGTGGGCGTACGGTATAAAAAACAATGAAAAAAATCAGCGTCTTTGTGTCACTATACTTTTAGCTACGAAAATACATTCCGTCTATTGCGACAGAGCTTTTCGTTATTTTTTCCTTCTTGTACTAGAATAGCTGACAATTCGGCAGCCATTGTCTTGCTGGCTTTTAGACTGTACCGTTGCAGCATCGGGCTGCAGTGATTCAGAAACAAGAGGGAAGGAGGGTGAAAAAAATGGATTCCGTGGAAATTGAATCTGCAGACTGCATGCATCTGGGCGACTGGCCAAGGACAGCTGACGTCACTTGTGGCGTTCTTAAGAAAAGCTTATCCCAATCCAACGGCAGGACGCCGATCGATGTTGAATTTAGTGATTTGACGTATACAGTGCCAACTGGTAAAAAAAGTTAGTTTTGCAAATTTGTTTTTTCAATTTCTGTTTTTTCAATATTCTCCTGTCGCTTAATGCGTTTTTACAACTGGCATTTACATATGCATAGTAGGTTGGTAATCTGTTATTAGTGTGTTAAGTGCATATATAAAGGAATTGAATGACATCAGTGGAGAATATTTTGGAATTTTAAAGTTTTGCTTCCTCATAGAGGAGGCTATGCTTTTTTTTTTAATGACAGTAGGTACGACGTTTTGATATGTATTATTGAAATTTTATTGTCAATGTTTATTTTACTGAATGCTATTTACAGTGTATCAATTGGAAAATCTTGAAGACAAATGTTGCAATTTACATAACGGAACCGGACACGGTGTTACGATTTTTCAGATTCTTAAGGTCGATACGATAAATTTACATTTCCTGGTAACGAATTGCAATTTCATTGGAATAATGATAATAATGCGTTACACGTGTTTTTATTGCAGTATTACCATGGTTCTTGGAATTGCTTATTGGACTATCGAGAATGTTATTTTTTTTTACGTGAATTTCTTTGAAATATCAAAAAATCAAAATTCATTTTGACTTTCGTTACCTACTTTGATACTTCTACTGAAGTAATATTCTGGAATTTAAGTAATCGATGACATATCGATCCGATCGATTACGTAGTCTACTGTCGATCCCAAATATTTGCAATTCCTATGTAAAGCCATTGTTTTCACGCATTAAAATGGGAATTGCAACCTTCGCGCATGAAACGACTACCAAGTTTCACGTGTCAAAGTATCATTAGGAATTTTATGTAACTCATGTATGAAAAACACTACTTTTCGTGCCTCCGAAGTGTGGCGAAAGTGGCGCTTTATATCTATGGATACGATAAAAATGCTGCGCATGCGCAAGTCGGCTCGATTTGACATTATCGCACTAGTGCGATAAAGTAGACTTTGTTCTCGCGCGCTGTCATCAAATGCATTCACTTTTGAAGCCTTCCTTGCTCCTCTCATGGCTGCCTCCTCCAACGAAGAGATGTTCCAGTCACTTTGGAGGCACAAAAAGTAGCGGTTTTCATGCATTCGTTACAGAAAATATTATGCGATACTGGTACAATAAAGCGAACATTATACACAGTTCGTGAAGTTTGTCACACTCGCCGCACTCGTTAAACAAACAGCACTCGCCTTCGGCTGGTGCCGTTGTGTTACTCGTGTGCGTCTCGTGCGACCAACTTCACCGCCTGCCTATAAAGTTCGCTTTCTCGCACTTGTATCGCAAAGTACTATTTCATCTTTTATTTACAGCATACAAATTTTATCGAGATGTCAAATAAATGCCATTAAATATACGTACATCGTTTAGTGTTTGAATTACAGACTCTCATTCGGCTTCTACGATATGGATTTACTAAGAATGAAAACAGAAACTATATCATATTACTATTATATATATATTATTATATTTTCATTATATTCATACAGCACTCAGTAATAATCTTACTTAATCTTACTTAACGTTAATTATTTAGCTTGTTTCGCACAGATCGTTCCTATATTATTTCATCATCGAAATTAAGAGAAGAAACTAATCCTAGAAATTCATAAATTTTTTACATCGCGTTACGTAGCTGACTGATTAATAAAAAAAAAAAAATTGTCTAAACCCACGTCGTATTTTTTGAATTCCAATGAAAAATGCAAAGAAATTTTTTTCTGTTAATCTACCCATTCTTACCTTACGGGATTAGAAAATAAGCTAACGGTATTGCCCATGGCAATTATTTTGAACATACGCTCATTGTCCTGCTGTGCCTTTCTGATGTTAAAGTCTCGTTAAATCGTCACGGATCGGAAGAGCGTGAAGTGTACATAAAGTCATGCGAAGTTGATTTCTCACTTTCTTGTCAAGAAAATGACAAAATTATGGCACTTACTCACCACTACCATAAGGCCGAATCACGCTAACTGACGTTCTTGCCAATTGATTGTTAACAACAATGCCACTCTGTTCGCAGGCTCTAAACTAATTCTCAGAGGGGTCAGTGGACAATTTAGGTCCGGAGAGTTGTCAGCCATTATGGGCCCGTCTGGTGCAGGCAAATCGACATTGCTCGACATTCTTGCTGGCTATAAGTGAGTATTATTATCGTATAATAGACACGGTTTATCATTACATAACGAAGACCCGTTGATCCCTATTCTATATGATCTTCATGACACTAATATACATTACTGACAAGACTGTTGACCAATATATTGAAAATAACATAATACTTAAGACCATCGACCGCCTGGCCTTTAACACAGGAAATAAAGTAGTTTCAGAGTTAGCATGAATAACCATAGGCTGGTCGATAAATGTATGCTACACCTTCATATATATACATATATATATACAGCATTCGAATACTAGAATTTTTGAATTGATCGCTTTATATGTCACGTGTCCGGAACGAGTAAAAAAATTACTCAGATATTTGTCACGAGCGAAGAATCCGTATATATTTTATGATAATAAATATTAAATTCAATACTTCTTTTGGTAACCCAATAATAATGATTTAACACTATACATAATAATTTAGTCGTTCTCTTAATTATTATTTAAGACAAAAAATTCGATATACAAAATCCCATAGTGTTCCAATATTTATGTTATAGACTGTATCTACATATAGATATACACGTAATATCGATCGCTTAGACTATATCTAGGTAATGCATATTTTCAGATGTAACGGTGTTACTGGTCTTATCACTGTCAATGGTCAGAACAGAGATCTTCGTAAGTTTTGCAAAATGTCCTGTTACATAATGCAAGAGGATCTTACTCAGCCAAGATTAACGGTAGAAGAAGCTATAGGGTTTGCCGCTGATCTTAAGTTAGACACTAGAATTTCAAAGGCCGCCAAGCGATCTCTTGTAAGGATATATTTTATTTTTATCCTTAACCGGCGGGATGGGTCTGTGAGACCCACACCGGATATTCCGATCTTTGTGCCGCAGGTGGATCCTACTTCTTAAAGTCTGCGGGCAATAGAATATTTTGAAGTTACTAATAAATTTGGCAAATACGTGATATTCGCGTTAAAGGAATATTCTATTTATAATATTAAACGCCGATCCAGCTGCGTCATATGTCTTTCAGTGGTATGAACAACAGCAAATGCGCCCCAAGTGACAAAATAGAAAATATTGGGTCTGTTCTATTTTGAGAAAAAAAAGTTGAGATTTCATTTGGTCATTTTACCTATAAGTATGGGACGTTCTTCATATTTGTTTTTTTAATACTACCCGTTAGATCTTTAGAAACGTTTCGGTTGACTTGGACTAGCGCCGGTGTTCATATCGAATTCTTTGGGAAGAATAGCGGGGCCAAGGGACCCCCCGGTAACTTGAATTGTCATCGTCTCGCTGGTTAAGGGTTAAATCAAATAGATAAATAATTGGTCTAATTATATCATTTTTCTTAACACTGTTATAGGTTAATGAAATTCTTCAGACTTTGAGACTGAACAATGCCAGGCATACGATTACGGAGAGACTATCTGGGGGAGAGCGAAAGAGACTGTCCATTGCTTTGGAACTTGTTAATAATCCTCCGGTTATTTTCCTGGATGAACCGACTACGTAATAATAAAATTTTGAGTCATTTGACTGATTTTCTAATTTGAAATTTGTTATTTGGTCTGAGAATTTTTTTTTCAGTGGGTTGGACGAGATGTCTTCTGTCCAGTGTGTGGATCTTCTACGGAGAGTCGCACTAGGTGGACGTACAGTGATTTGTTCTATTCATACACCCAGTGCTAGTATATTTTCAAAATTTCATCACGTCTACGTGGTAACTGCTGGACAATGCGTTTACAGAGGAAACGTCGACGACGTGGTGCCGTATTTACATAATATAGGGATAGACTGTCCAGTGCATTATAATCCTGCTGATTTTGGTAAAAAAATTTTTTCATTTTTCAAATTCTAGTTTTTTGGGTTATAGAATTTTGACGTGGCTTTTCTTTTTCAAGTCATTGAAGTCTCTGCTGGTGAATACGGTAAGGATCTTGTCGAGAGGATGATGACTTTGGTAGCCGAGAGATCGCCGATAGTACCGACCCCGCATGCCGATTTTCAGTATGCGGAATTTGAGAATATCGGGAAAATTTCCTGGTGGGAACAGTTTACGATACTTCTGAAAAGAATGATGTTGCAATTCTACAGGAATAGGGTAGGCTGTTTGAGAAATTTTTGATTAATTAAGGATTTCATGTTGTTTTGATCTCGTTGTACGACCTTTTAGAATTATATGTACTTAAAAATGTCTCTACATGCATTTCTTGGATTTATTATTGGCGGATTATTTTTGGGAATTGGTAACGACGGATCAAAGACACTTTTCAATTTTGGATTCTGTTTTACCTGCCTGATTGTCTTTCTGTACGTGCCCATGTTACCTATTTTACTACATTGTGAGTAGTGCGATTTGCGGAAATGTAATTTTTTTTTAAAATTTACTTAAAATTTATATTATATGATATTTTTGAAATTTTCAGTTCCGTCCGAAGTGCATTTAGTTAAACGAGAGCATTTTAATAGGTGGTACGATTTGGGTCCATATTTCTGTGCATTGACAGTGTCTAATATACCCGCTCAGGTGATGTTACTAGGTGTAATTATTAAGAAAAATATCAATTGATATCCAATACTTTTGTCACAGATTGTACTTAGTATTATATACCTGTCGATGGTTTATCCAATTACGGGACAACCATTAGAACTATTTAGATGTTCAATGTTCTTCAGCACGTGTATAATTTGTGCTCTAATTGCTGAAAGTATGGGACTGGCCGTTGCAAGCATGCTCAGTATAGTGGTATGTTCAATTAATGTAATTAATTAAGAGTCGAAAATATCAATTAATAATTTTTTCTTTCACAGAATGGTATGTTCGTCGGTCCAGCAATAACTGTTCCCTTAATGTTGTTTGCTGTGCAAGGAATGGGTACGACCGATCCGCTTCCTATTTATCGGACACTGGTTATGTATATAAGCTATATACGCTATGGTTTAGAAGCTTTGATAGTGGCGACTTATGGTTACAATCGTGAAAAATTACCATGTCCACCTAATATGATTTATTGTCAGTACAGGGTACCACGAGAGTTACTAAGGACCATGGGTAAGTGTTACCAACAAGGGAAAATAAAATAACTGGATTATTTATAATATATAATTTTTTTTTTTCTTGAATACTTACAGGCATGGAAAACACTGTCTTTTGGTTAGATTTTCTGGCACTTATCATAATTCTTTTTATCTTTCGAGCACTTACCTATTATCTACTGAGACAGAGACTTCAGCCTAACAAGACGTTTCAAGCTCTTTATTTAGTTGGTCGTCTTGTGAAGAATCACTTCGTTAACGGCTAATTCATTGCTTGTGCATAGCTGATAATTTTTTAAATTTTATTTTTATTGGAGTTCTCACACTCTCAGCAGTCATTGTCACGGCTCAATTAGATTTTAGAGTTAGGAATAATTACAGGAAAGGATGACTGTTGTGCGAATACTGAACGAATGGTATTTATTTTGGTTCACAAAACACCTAACACCCTAGTGATAAGAGATTGTCTATACTTTCAGAGGTTAATTATTTTTTCATATCAGTTTCCTAACTGAATTTGATAGCTAAAGAAATCATGGATACAAGTTAAAGGACGTTTCGAATAATAATAGCATATATGGATTTTTTATACAGTGATCAGTATATTAATAAGATAGTATATAAATACGTATGACTGTTTTCTTTATTGTATACTCAGCCCATGAACTTAGCAAAATTAGGAAGTAGTAATCCGAGAACTCTGGAATGAAAGATAATTGAGAAAGAAGTTTTATTAGATTAAATGAGTAATTAACCCAGTATTTAAAATCCACGTAACACTGTGGATTTTAAATATAGTACCAGAGATGAGTAGGGAGATTGCCGGTGGGAAGATTTTCTTGAAACTAACTTTGCTTTGGTGTCGGCGCGCTACCTGAGCGTCGAACAATACCCACGCTTTCGACTGGTCGAACGTATACTTACTTTACTACTTCTCGAAATCTTTATTTCTATTTTCTTATTGCGAATATTTCGCAAACCATATAAGTACATCTGTACTTCGTATGCTGTATCATTATCGTATTTGCCGAATAAATTATCTTGAAACACTTATACACGTATATATTCTTTTGCCCTCTGCGAATATCCCATAGTACGAATGAGTCCTGTCTCTCGCTTACTCTCCTCCGTCGTAACAGCATCCTTCTTCTTCTGCTTCTCCTACTCCTTCTCCCTTATGCTTTAACACCCCTTTTTAGCTATCCTTCATTTTCTCTGCCATTATTTACATTCCATCTCTGCCATATTATCCATATTCTGACTTCGTTTTTCTTCATCAATACTACCTTCTAAAATAAGATGATTCCGAACGGAATTCTAAAATCGCATCGACGAAACTTTAGTGGGTCAATTTTTATTAAGCATATCGAAAAAATCGCGCCATCTCTATGGGAATTATCGCTGGAATT